CCTTGAACACCAAGAAGGCATAAACGAAAAGAATTTTGTGGAAAATCGCGAATTAAATGAAGAAACTTGAATCAGTACTGGTTTTTTACCATCGTAGTAGTAACAAACTTTCTTCGACGATGCAGACTCCATCGTCAACCGCCCCCGAATTTCAACCCTGTGTAGTAAAACAAAGAAACTATATTAACAAAGGGCAACAATAATTTTGAAATATTTTTCAAAAATAAATATAATTTAATACTAAATAAAAGAGTTACTTTTAGTTTCGTATAAATACCCCGCGGAGTTCGAATAATTTTAATGAACTGTGGATGCATCATCCCGATATAGCTTATTTGAGGCAGATTGTTAAGCAATCTGACCCTAAATCTGAATATAAAGTACTAGCCAACATAGGAAGTGGGACTTATGGCGATGTATATAAGGTACTTCCTATTTTTTCTGATATTGTCTGCTTTTCGCGCGCGCTTCCCTACTATATTAGCGAATGTACGCAAACGCTCTCAGTTCTTTTACCAGATTTTATTTACTAATTATAACCATGTACTAACAATTCATTACAGATGGTTCCTCACTTGTATGGCATAAGTTTTTTTTACTAACGACGTCATTTCTTAACTTGGAGCGTACAATTTCTGTACTGTCGCTGCCGTAGAAAAGGTATTTACCCAATCCTTGTTCCACCTGTTATAACCAAATGGTAAATCCACTAATGTAGCTTATCAGAGTAGTTGAATCTATCTGACTATGCTGTCCAAATCAAGGTAGTTTTCTTGGACCACTTCGACTTCCTGGAGCGACATATGTACGTTGTGGTTATTGTGTAGGCTTGCAACCAAAACCGAATGTAAGAAAAAAGCAATATTTCCAATAACCCAAAATAATTAGGTTTTTAAATGGAAGGATTATCGCTCTACACTTAACTTTTCTGCCCAGCCCAAAATTTGATGCTTACTCTTGCTTATTCCCCGACTAGTGTATTTTCTTCACGATCTTCAAGGCAACGCCGAACCTCTATATATTTTTTTTGTTATCTCTTGTTCATTCCATTGAGCCAGCAATCGATATTCCCTTAATGTTCTTCATCGTTCGTTTTGAGCCACACATTTTTTGAATCAAGTAAATTGTCTGCACGGTTTTTAAAAAGCATATTGCAAGCCTTGTCGTAGTTCTTTTAGTCATGGATTCGCGCATGATCGCGTACGCGTCACACGTAATCGTTTTTGTCTTGCTATGACTTGGCCTCATCCTACGACTGCAATGATGACTTGCCCTTCAGTTCTATTGAGTTTTATCAGTAGATTGGCATTGGATCAGTTATCAGTTATTTTGTATTTTTCTATTGACCGAAAGTCTTCTCAAACCGTTGTTTACCACGGCGAATAGATCGCACATAAGTTTACGAAGGAAGTTGTTGTTTCTTACCTATCTTACATAATATCGGTTTGAGGTCAATCCTTTGAGCAGAAATCTTCCTGACTATATTTCTGATGTTTTCCGAAACCCCCTTCACGCAGATTTTTTCTTTGTTTCTCCTCTTTTCACGCAGCTAACACTTGTTCTCATGTCGAGTATGACTCAATTTTATTGCGCTCACGTTAAGTTTGAAGATTCCGTTTAAGGCTGTCAGCCAATCTCTGTCATGATCTTTAATAAAGTAATATGGACGGGGTTTAGTCAAGCCGACTGGATCACCTAAGAATGATAGACCCTTAAAAACCGCGTGTGCTTTGCTGCAGGAAAAAAAATTCACTGATTTGTCTCAAAAAATACATATCAAACCATAAGTGACAATAAATATGATTTTGGTTCAGAGTAATGGTGTGCGATATTGTTTCACACCGTCCTCAGATGGTGGCACATTTGTTATTATTCTTTGAGCACCGAAGATCTAACTCACACCTGGTCACTCCTTCAGTAACGTCTATAGTTCCCAGCGTTTATCGATACCTCTGGCTGTATATCTAGCTTGCGCTGAACAGCCAAACAAAATGCACTGTTAATAATTCAGAAGGCGACTGCTTTTCCTAGAGTTCCTAAATATTTGCACTGTAATTTGGAAAGCAGGCATCCTAAAAAATGTAATTTCAAGGAAAGGCATCCTTTGGGAAAATGAGTACAGTTTATTCAGTAAGTTTTCGACACTGGATCCAGTGTCATTTCTTCATTTTCCCAAAGGAGGTCTTCCCTTGAGATGTTGCAATATCCTGGTCCGTACCTACATACTGGTGCAAGCTTTTAATATGTGCTATTTTATATTCAAAAGTTAGCTGATTTTTGTGATTGCGCATGACGTTTTCCCCTACATTCGCCCATCTTTCCCTCAATAAACTGATACTGATTTTGCACACCGTTTATGCGTTAAGCAATGCCCTCTGCTAGCCATATAAACTTTTTTTACAAAGTTCTGAAATTGCACGCCTTTCCAGCATTTTCTGTTTAGGTCTACTGGTAGTAACAATGCACTCACCAACAAACTGAGATACCATTTTTCTGCTACCACGACACAAATGTACAAATAGGGAACTCAAAGGCAATATGCCTACATATCCCTCAATAAAATGATACTGATACTCTACAATGCCTAACAAACTAATGTACAAAATATCTACTACCTGGCTAATATATTTATCGCAGGTGAGACGATTACCAGCCATCCGAGAAATATTAAGTGTAAAGTCGACAACCCATTGTATTAACGTATGCTTGTTGCCATATCGACGACATCAGACCCCTTGCTACACAAAAAATAATGTCAACAAAATATGTTAGAATTTATAGCGGACAGTTTAGGCTGTGGAAGTTTGGATGACGGTAAACTTGGGATACTGAAAAGTTTCACATTCAGCTCTGTATTGACCGCAGATGCTCCAACAGGGCAAAGGATAAACGGGACCAAATTGTCCTTCTCGACCTCTTCGCTCATTGGCGGCCAACGCTTATCATTTCCGCTGCCGCCGGTATCCACAGAATACTCTTCTCTGTCAGCTCACGGGCGAATTCCCCAAATACCTAATCGAAACCATATTCCAATAATTAAGCCATAGTCGAAGAAAAGTTTTTGCATTTATTGATGTTTAAGGTGCTTCATTTTGCTGCTGTTAGAATCAGTATAAAAGACGAGGCATCTACAGTCAGTCCTTTTTTCCATTTCCCGAGTTGGCGTCATATCTGGTTGAAGACTTCTGGTCACAGTACACAGCCCGCTGTCTCCCATGCTTATGCCTTGTCGGTCGCAA